ACTATTGGGGGTCTGGAGACCCGTATAGATCTTTTATTATTGTGTATGGTGGATTTCGATGTCATTTTGGGCATGGATTGGCTATCTCCGTGTCATGCTATTTTGGACTGTCATGCTAAGACAGTCACATTGGCTATACCGGGTGTGCCATGGATTGATTGGCGAGGTGTGACTGATTATGTTCCTAGCAGAGTGATCTCATTCTTGAAAGCCCAACATATGGTTGGGAAGGAGTGTCTTTCGTATCTAGCATTTGTGAGGGATGTCGGAGCTGAGACTCCCAGTATTGATTCCGTTCCAGTTGTGAGGGATTTTCCCGATGTGTTTCCTGTAGACCTGCCGGGCATACCACCAGACAAGGATATTGATTTTGGTATTGACCTAGTGCCGAGCACTCAGCCCATTTCTATTCCGCCGTATCATATGGCACCAATAGAGTTGAAGGAATTAAAAGAACAGCTTCAGGAACTCCTTGATAAAGGGTTCATTTGGCCTAGTATGTCACCTTGGGGTGCGCGGATCCTATTTGTGAAAAAGAAGGATGGCACTATAAGGATGTGTACTAATTATAGGCAGTTGAACAAGATAACAATTAAGAACAAGTATCCTTTGGCTCGCATTGATGATTTATTCGACCAGCTTCAGGGAGTGAGAGTGTTCTCCAAGATTGATCTCCGTTCAGGTTATCACCAGTTGAAGATCAGGGACTCGGATATCCTTAAGACAGCTTTCAGGACCCGATATGGTCATTATGAATTCTTGGTGATGTCTTTTGGGCTGACCAATGCCCCAGTAGCATTCATGCATTTGATGAACAGTGTGTTCCGGCCTTATCTTGACTCGTTTGTCATAGTCTTCATTGATGATATTCTGGTATATTAGCGTAGTTAGAAGGAGCACGCAGAGCATTTGAGAGTTGTGTTGCAGAGATTGAGGGAGGAGAAGCTTTATGCAAAATTCTCCAAGTGTGAGTTTTGGCTCAGTTCAGTGGCTTTCTTAGGGCACGTGGTGTCCAACAAGGGTATTCAGGTTGATCCGAAGAAGATAGAGGCGGTTCAGAGTTGGCCCAGACCGTCCTCAGGCACAGAGATTCGTAGCTTTCTTGGTTTGATGGGTTATTATTGCCAGTTTGTTCAGGGATTCTCATCTATCGCATCGCCCTTGACCAAGTTGACTCAGAAGGGTACTTCATTTGTATGGTCGGACGAGTGTGAGGAGAGCTTTTAGAAGCTCAAGACAGTTTGATCACAACTCCAGTGTTGGTCTTGCCATCAGCTTCAGGTTCATATACCGTGTATTGTGATTCTTCGAGAGTTAGAATTGGTTGTATGTTGATGCAGGAGGATAGAGTTATTGCTTATGCTTCTCGTCAGTTGAAGCCCCATGAGAAGAACTACCCCATTCATCATTTGGAGTTGGCTTCCATAATTCACGCATTGAAGATTTGGAGGCATTACTTGTATGGCGTATCTTGTGAGGTGTTCACTGATCATCATAGTCTTCAACATTTGTTCAAGCAAAAGGATTTTAATTTGAGACAGCAGAGATGGTTGGAGTTGCTTAAGGATTATGATATCACTATATTGTACCATCCGGGAAAGGCCAATGTGGTGGCCGATGCTTTGAGCTGAAAGGTAGTGAGTATGGGGAGTTTGGCATATATTCCAGTTAGGGAAAGACCCCTTGGGGTTGATGTTCAGGCCTTGGCCAATCGGTTCGTGTAATTAGATGCTTCAGAGCCCAGTCAGGTATTGGCTTGTGTGGTTTCTCTGTCTTCCTTATATGATCACATCAGAGAGCGCCAGTATGATGATCCGCACTTGCTCGTCCTTAAGGATAGAGTTCAGCATGACGATGCTAGAGATGTGACCATTGGAGATGATAGGGTGTTGAGGATGCAGGGCCGGATTTGCGTACCTAGTACGTATCCCGTCAAATCTCGAAGAAGTAGAGACGAGAAGTCGACTTGATACTTACTAGGGTCAAATAATATAATAAAATATTATGCTAAGCATGGAAGTCACAATAAATCAACAGTTTATAGCAAGAAGTAATAAGTCATGTCCTTAAAAATATTACAGCTAGCCATTTACATTTCAAACACTTAACAAAGCAAGTCATGAATAAGATTTCACATAGATATCATGCGCACATTATGCCGAGGTCGAAGGCCCGATCCAACAGAAAATAAATTGTGCACTGCCAGAGGGTCGAATGGCGCGAACCATAGATGCATCTATTTCTACCGAGGCGATCGGCCCGATCCACAAATATCAATTATCATCAGGGAAACACATGAAGGCGCATTTATATTCAAATAAATTCATACAAGTTTATACGTTCACTTATGTTCCTTTCCAATTCTCTAGCATATCCTAAGTGATCACATTAGCAAGAAGATATATAGATATTCGCAAATATGGCATGATACGGGTCCTAAACTACCCAGACAATTAACATAATAGTAGCTATGCACGGAATCTCGTCACCTAGTGCATTCGTAGCCCCAGCATTTAGTAGCAAATTATTTAATTATTACACATATGGGGACAATTCTCTCTTACAAGGTTAGAAAGGAGACTTACCTCGCTCCAAAGTGTACTTCCAATACCAAGAACGAGCTCAAACCCTCAATTTGGAGCCGAACGATCCAAAACTAGTTAAATGAGGTAAGAACTAGTCAATACAAGCTCACAAGATCGCATTCTAACTATTGAAGCAATTTACCAACCTAAACACAAGTTTCCTAAAATCCAACCCCGGGCCCACGTGCCCGGATTCCGAAAATATTTTCAAAGAAAGTTGTTCTTTATACCCTAAGCATTAATAATATATGATTTCTACTTCATTTCATAACCAATTTATGGTAAAATCTAAGTTTTATCAAAATCCCATGTTTTGCTCTAATCCCTTGATTTTTCCTAATCTTTAAGTGTTAGTCTACCCAAAACTCAAGTATTAAACTTAGAAATAAGGGGGATGAGCTTACCTCAAGATGCTATGCGGAAATCTCCTCTCAAGAGCTCCAAAATCGCCCAATACACGAGTGAAAATGGGCAAAAATGGTTGGAGCCCGTGTTAAATAAAGCTCACTGCTTCAGTGATTTCCGCATCTGCAGTTCTGGGCCGCATCTGCGGAAAGGGGCCCACTTCTGCGGAATCTCAATTGGTCCGCTGGGCCGCATCTGCGAGATACAAGCTAAATTTTCGGGTCCGTTTCTGTGGAAAGACAGCCGCTTCTGCGGCTTTGGGCCTGGCCTGGCTTGGCCGCATCTGCGATAGGTGGACCACTTCTGCGGTCTCGCACCTGCGGCTGACCAATCCCAGGTGCGGTTATGATAGCAACCTGAAGCTTCAACTCTTCCCAAATTTTCCAACTTCATTCGAGCCTCGTCCGATTGATGCTCGGGGCTCCCAAGCCCCGCCCGAACATACCGACAAGTCTGAAATCATGAGACGAACTCGCTCGAAACCTCGGAATGCCCGAAACAACATTAAATCCAAGAATCACCCCCTAAAACCAAGTGATTCAAACTTATGAACTTCAAGTTCTTAAATTCATTTCTAACGTGCCAAAACGTACTTATACTACTCGGATTGACATTAAATTTTGCGGGCAAGTATTAAATATTATATTGGACCTGTACAGGGATCCGGAATCAACATACGAGCCCGATACCAATGTGATCAATCATTATTTAGTCTCTTTAAATCCATAGAATTTCAGTTTAACAATTTCTAATAAAAATTCATTACTCGGGCTAGGGACCTCGGAATTCGATTTCGGGCATATGCCCAGGTCCCATATTTTCCTATGGACCCTCCGAAATCGTCAAAAACAAATCTGGATCCGTTTGCTAAAAATGTTGACCAAAGTCAAACTTTATCTTTTAAGAAAATCCTAAGGAATCAAATGAGCCTATTTCAATCCAAACTCTTCTAAATCCCGAACCAACCATCCCCACAGGTCGTAAATTAGTTTAAGCAAGCGCGAGAAGTTTTATTTAAAGGAATGGGGTTCTAGAAAGAAAAATGACCAGTAGGATCGTTACATTCTCCACCTCTTAAACAAACGTTCGTCCTCGAACGGACATAGAAAAGTACCTGAGGTGCTGAATAAATGTGGATATCTGCTCCACACGTCCTCCTCGAACTCCCAGGTCGCCTTCTCGACTAGTTGGCCCCTCCACTAGACCTTCACCGCTAAAATTCTCTTGGATCTTAACTGGCGATCCTGTCTATCAACAATGGAAACTAGTTCCTCCTCATAACCCAAACTCTCATCCAACTGAATAGTACTGAAGTCTAACACATGGGACAAGTCGGCAAGATACCTCCGAAGCATGGACACATGGAAAACTGGATGAACTCCCGATAAACTAGGGGTTAAAGCAAGCCTCTCCAACTCGCCTCAACACCTTAAAGAGGCCAATGAATCTTGGGCTCAATTTGCCCTTCTTCCCGAACCTCATAATACCTTTCATTGCCGAGACTTTCAAGAGGAACTTCTCGCCAACCATGAATGATACATCACGCGCCTTCTGATCCGCGTAGCTCTTGACTGAGTTGTGCGAAGCCTCTCCTGAATCAACTTTACCTTGTCCAAGGCATCTTGCACCAAGTATGTACCGTATAACTTAGCCTCACCATGCTCAAACCACCCGATAGGAAAACGACACCATCGACTATATAAAGCCTCGAATGGAGCCATCTTTATGCTAGACTGATAGTTGTTGTTGTAAGCAAACTCTGTCAAGGGTAAGAACTGATCTCACTGTCCTCCAAAATCAATCACACATGCTCTAAGCATGTCCTCCAAGATCTGAACTATCCGCTCCCATCTATCTGAGGGTGGATTGCTGTGCTAAGCTCCACACGGGCCCCCAACTCACTCTGAATAGCTCTCCAGAAATAGGAAGTGAACTGAGGCCTCTTTTAATATGATGGAAACAGGCACACCGTGCAACCTGACTATCTCCCGGATGTAAATCTGAGCATACCTCTTTGAAGTATAAGTAGTCGCCACTGGAATGAAGTGGCCCGACTTGGTCAACCTGTCAACAATGACCCACACTGCGTTATACTTCCGCAAAGTCCACGGCAACCCAACTACGAAATCCATAGTAATGCGCTCCCACTTCCACTCTGGTATAGGCATTTGTTGAAGTAGGCCACTCGTCCTCTGATGTTCATACTTGACCTGCTGGCAATTCAAACACCTATCCATATACTCCACTATGTCTTTCTTCATCCTCTGCCACCAATAATGCTGTCTCAAGTCACGATACATCTTCGTAGCACCCGGATGAATGGAATACCATGAACTGTGTGCCTCCTCTAGAATCCTCTCCCCCAGACCATCAACATTAGGAACACATAGGCGACCCTGGAGTCGCAGAATACCATCCTCGCCAATAGAAACCTTCTTGGCATTACCTTGCAGCACTGTCTCTCTAAGAACCGCCAAGCGTGGATCATCGAATTGTCGGTCCTTGATCTGCCCCAATAATGAAGACTGAGAAACAACACACGCAAAAACTTGGCTAGGCTCTGAAATATCCAACCTCACAAGTTTGTTAGCCAAGGACTGAATGTCCAAAGCTAGTGGCCTCTCCTCTGCTGGAATGAATGCCAAGCTACCCATACTCTCTACTTTCCTTCTTAAGGCATCTGCGACCATATTGCCTTGCACGGATGATAAAGAATGGTGATGTCATAATCCTTCAGTAACTCAAGCCACCTGCGTTGCCTCAAATTAAGATCCCTCTACTTGAACAAATGTTGTAAGCTGCGATGATCAGTATAAACCTTACATGGCACCCCATAGAGATAATGCCTTCATATCTTAAGAGCATGAACAATCGCGACCAACTCTAGATCGTGCACAGGATAATTCTTCTCATGAATCTTCAGCTGAGGTGACGCATATGCAATAACTCACCCCTCCTGCATCAATACACATACCAATCCAACACGTGAAGCGTTGCAATATACCGTATACATCCCCGAATTGGAAGGCAATACAAGAACTGGTGCCGTAGTCAAAACTGTCTTGAGCTTCTAAAAACTCTCCTCACACTCATCGGACTAACGGAAAGGAGCACCCTTCTAGGTCAATCTAGTAAGAGGTGCTGCAATAGATGAAAAGCCCTACACAAATCGTTTGTAATAACCTGCTAACCCAGGAAACTCCTAATCTCGGTCACTGAAGTAGGACGTGGCCAACTTTGAATTGCCTTAATCTTCTTGGGATCCACCTTAATACCCCCTCCTGACACAACATGCCCCAAGAATGCCACTGACTCTAGCCAAAAATCACACTTGGAGAACTTAGCATATAGCTTCTGCTCTTGCAAGGTCTGAAGCACTACTCTCAAATGCTGCTCATGCTCCCCCAGGCTACATGAGTATATCAAGATGTTGTCAATGAAGACGATGACAAATGAATCAATATAAGGTCTGAACACTATGTTCATCAAGTCCATAAATGCTGCTGGGGCATTAGTCAAGCCAAAGGACATCAACAAAAACTCATAATGGCCATATCTAGTCCGGAATGCAGTCCTCGGAACATCCGAGTCCCGAATCTTCAGCTGATGATACCCTGACCTCAAGTCGATCTTGGAGAACATCCTAGAATCCTGCAACTAGTCAAACAAATCATCGATACGAGGCAACAGATACTTGTTCTTGATGGTGACTTTGTTCAACTAGTGGTAATCAATGCACATCCGCATAGTCTCATCCTTCTTCTTCACAAATAACACTGGCGCACCCCAAAGTGATATACTGGGTCTAACAAACCCCTTTGCTAACAACTCCTCAAGCTGTTCCTTCAACTCTTTCAACCTTCTCTGAGCTATACAGTATGGTGGAATAGATATGGGCTGGGTGCCTGTAGCCAAATCAATACAGAAATTAATATCACGATCCGGTGGCATGCCATGAAGATCAGAAAGAAACACATTTGCGAACTCCTGAACTACTGGAACTGAATCAATCGTCGGGGACTATGCAGTGGTGTCCCGAACATAAGCTAGATAATCCAAACACCCCTTCTCGACCATATGTCGAGCCTTCAGAAAAGAGATAACCCGACTAGATATATCAACTGTGGAACCCTTCCACTCCAATCTTGGAAACACTAGCATTGCTAATGTAACAGTCTTGGCATGGCAATCTAGGATGACATGATATGGAGATAACCAATACATGCCTAGGATGATCTTAAAGTCGATCATATCGAGCAACATGAGATCTGCTCTAGTCTCGAAACCACAGAATGTGACCACACAGGACCAGTAGATCTGATCCACAACCACAGAATTTCCCACAGGAATGGACACATGAACAGGAGTGCCCAAAGGCTCAGGAGAAATAACCAAGAAATGAGCAAACAGAGATGATACATATGAATAGGTAGACCCTGGATCAAATAATACCGAAGTATCCCTACCGCCGACGAAAATAATACATGTGATAACGACATCTGAGGCCAATGCATCTAGCCTAGCCGGAAGGGCATAAAATCTGGCTGGAGCGCTGGCTAGATGGCCTCCACCTGACTGAGCAGTAGCTGGCTGACCTCTCCCTATCTGGCCTCCACCTCTAGGACGGCCTCTACCAGTCTGCTCTCCACCTCTAGACGGCTGGGCAACTAGTACTAAAATTATAAGCTGTTGACCCTGCTGTAGTGCCTTGCCCTGAAGCCTGGGGCAGTATCTCCTCATATGACCAAGGTCTCCGCACGCAAAACAACCATGCGGTGCGGTGACCTACTGCCCTGATGGCTTGTAGACCCACTGGAAGAAGCTCGGATAGCTGGTGGATGATATGAACTCTCCGACATAGCACTAAAATAGGAACCAGAAGAACCCTGGGGACCTGAATAATTATTGGAGGAACCCTGAATAGCTGGCGGGCGATAAGAACTCTCTAGCATATCGCTGAAATAGGGGCATGCTGGAGCACCACGAGCAGGTGGTGGTGCTGCATATGGGGGTCTGCTGGTCTGACCCCTCCCAAATTGACCTCTCCCTATTGGCCTTCCAAGAACATAGGACTGCTACCATCTATGGGCCCTGCCCTCTAGCTGAAAAGTAGTGAAGTCAACTCCATGCGACTCCAATATCCTCATCTTGTGTAGTATGTCCCTGCGCCTATCTATGAAATCCTGGGCATCCTCATGACGCTCACCCTCGAAGATAGGAGGGTGAAGTCTAGTCCATCTATCCAACAACTTCTGTGGGTCGCCATCCGTAGCTGGTTTGGCTGTGGCGCTACTACAACAACTGGCTGGGCTCCATCTATGGGTAGTGTACCCGAAGTTTGATACACTGCATTTGCATGACCAAGAGCCTGAGCAGTAGGGGTCTGTGCTCCCCTTCCTGCCAGTGATGTAGTTGGATCCGCTGGAAATAAACTAGCCTGAGTCATGGAATCTATGAACCACAGCATGTGGCCCATGATATCCTGGAAATTTGGTGCTGTCATAAAGTCCATCGGGGTAGGCTCTGCTGCGGGCACCTCACCCTGCTCCTCGATGATAGGATCTCCCTCAGGATCTGCTGGTAGTTCTACTGGAACAGATCTGGGGTGCCCTCGTCCCCTACCTCGGGCATGTGCCCTCCCAGGCCTCTACCTCGGCCTCTAGCAATGGGGGGAGCAGCTCCTCCCGGGTTTGGAACATCAGCCGTGCGTTTCCTCACCATTTGTGAGAGAATAGAAGAGGGAAATTTAGTATACCAACCACTGCACGATAGGAAATGAATAAAGAGTACTTTTCCTAACACCCTATAGCCTCTTGAAGATAAATACAGACGTCTCCGTACCGATCTGCAAGACTCTATTAGGTTTGCCCATGACTTGTGAGACCTACGTGAACCTAGTGCTCTGATACCGTGTTCTCATGACCCATTTCCATTATAGGTCATGATGGCGCCCAACACCATTGTCGGGCAAGCCAAACGCAGAATTATAAATAAATTCTAATTTTACTTTTATCAAAATAAGTGCAACAATTTCTTAAGTTAAAGTTAAAACAAGTAATGACCAGTAATGTACCAAAGATAATTATACAATTCCCAAAAGAATAGTCTACTAATGTATGTGCCAAGACCTGGTATCACAAGTTGTGGGAAACTAGTAGAATATACAAAAGAATAAATCTATCCTACTGTCAGAAATAGAATAGATAGCAAAAACATAAAGAGAGACTCCATCAGGCTGCTGAATGGCACAGGAGGGGAGCAGCTCACCATGGAAGTCTCGCACTCTGCTCAGGAATGCGCACCAGACTGATAACCAGATGTACCTGCCTCAGATCCTATACAATTAAGTACAGAAGCATAGTATGATTACATAAACAATATGTACCCAGTAAGTATCCCGTCTAATCTCGAAGAAGTAGAGACGAGAGGTCGAATTGATACTTACTAGGGTCAAATAATATAATAAAGTATTATGCTAAGCATGGAAGTCACAATAAATCACCAGTTTATAGCAAGAAGTAATAAGTCATGTCCTTAACAATATTACAGTTAGCTATTTACATTTCAAACACTTAACAAAGCAAGTCATGAATAAGATTTCACATAGATATCATGCGCACATTATGCCGAGGTCGACGGCCCGATCCAATGGAAAATAAACTGTGCACTGCTAGAGGGTCAAATGGCGCAAACCATAGATGCATCTATTTCTACCGAGGCAATCGGCCCGATCCACAAATATCAATTATCATCAGGAAAACACATGAAGGCGCATTTATATTCAAATAAATTCATACAAGTGTTCAACAAGTGTATACGTTCACTTATGTTCCTTTCCAATTCTCTAGCATGTCCTAAGTGATCACATTAGCAAGAAGATATATAGATATTCGCAAATATGGCATGATACGGGTCCTAAACTACCCAAACAATTAACATAATAGTAGCTACGCGCGGACTCTCGTCACCTAGTGCGTTCGTAGCCCCCGCATTTAGTAGCAAATTATTCAATTGTTACACCTATGGGGACAATTCCCTCTTACAAGATTAGAAAGGAGACTTACCTCGCTCTAAAGTGTACTTCCAATACCAAGAACGAGCTCAATCCCTCAATTTGGAGCCGAACTATCCAAAACTAGTTAAATGAGGTAGGAACTAGTCAATACAAGCTCACAAGATCGCATTCTAACTATTTAAGCAATTTCCCAACCTCAAACACAAGTTTCCTAAAATCCGACCCCGGGCCCACGTGCCCATATTTCGAAATGTTTCGAAGAAAGTTGTTCTTTATACCCTAAGGATCAATAATATATGATTTCTACTTCATTTCATAACCAATTTCGTGGTAAAATCTAAGTTTTATCAAAACACTAGGTTTTGCTCTAATCCCTTCGTTTTTCCTAATCTTTAAGTGTTAATCTACCCAAAACTCAAGTATTAAACTTAGAAATAAGGGGGATGAACTTACCTCAAGATGCTAGGTGGAAATCTTCTCTCAAGAGCTCCAAAATTGCCCAATACACGAGTGCAAAATGGGCAAAAATGGTTGGAGCCCGTATTAAATGAAGCTCATTGCTTCAGTGATTTCCGCATCTGCAATTCTAGGCCACACCTGTGACCACCGCATCTGCAGAAAGGGACCCACTTCTGCGGAATCTCAACTGGGCCACTGGGCCGCATCTGCAATACGCAAGCCGCATTTGCGGCTCCGCTTCTGTGGAAATACAGTCGCTTCTATGGCTTTGGGCCTGGCCTGGCATAGCTGCATCTACGAGAGATGGACCACTTCTGCGGTCTCACACCTGCGGTTGACCAACCGCAGGTACGGTTATGACATCAACCTGAAGCTTCAGCTCTTCCCAAATTTTCCAACTTCACTCGAGCCTCATCCTATTGACGCTCGGGGCTCCCGGGCCCCGCCCGAACATACCGACAAGTCTGAAATCATGAGACGGACTCGCTCAAATCCTCGGAACGTTCGAAACAATGCTAAATCCAAGAATCACCCCCTAAAACCAATTGATTCAAACTTATGAACTTCAAGTTCTTAAATTCACTTCTAACGTGCCGAAACGTACTTATACTACTTGGATTGACACCAAATTTTTCGGACAAGTCTTAAATGTTATATTGGACCTGTACTGGGCTCCGGAACTAACATACGAGCTCGATACCAACATGATCAATCATTATTTAGTTTCTTTAAATTCTTAGAATTTCAGTTTAACAATTTCTACAAAAATTCATTACTCGGGTTAGGGACCTCGGAATTCGATTTCGGGCATACGCCCAGGTCCCATATTTTCCTACGGACCCTCCGGGACCATCAAAACACAAATCCGGATCCGTTTACTAAAAATGTTGACCAAAGTCAAACGTAGCCTTTTAAGAAAATCCTAAGGAATCAAATGAGCCTATTTCAATCCAAACTCTTTCAAATCTCGAACCAACCATCCCTGCAGGTCGTAAATTAGTTTAAGCAAGCGCGAGAAGTTTTATTTAAGGGAACGGGGTTCTAAAAAGCAAAACGACCAGTCGGGTCGTTATAGAATAAGTCCGATTGGTGGGTTGTAATAAAAACTAAGCCTGTAGGTAGGGTGGAAGTCGAGAATGTGTTAGATGTTGCATATCAAAACAATATCTCCAGTGTTCACCAAATAGTGGACAAACTTTTAGAAAATGATTTGGAACATCCTAAACACATATCGGAAGAAGTTGATATAAATGAAGTAACAATTATAGAAAATGAGGAAGAAGAATTCTCAGACGAGGAACAATACGTCGATGAGCTTTAAAAAGTTAGTTTCTTTAATAACTCTCATTTTATAGCTAGTTTCTTGTATGTTTCAATCTAAATATGTATTATATTATGCATATGATAGGCAAGGGTCGAGGTAACAATGACCCTACTGGTTCTCGGGGTCGAGAAAAGGCTAGGAAGGGAAAGAGGAGGGTAGAAGATAATACTCCATCTTTTCCACCCTCTTCAGAGATGCCTATGCCTATGTCTTATCCTCTACCTCAGGGCTATTCTGAGCTGCCATAGCATCACGAGCCCTACACCTTCATGTAGACACTAGGTCTTTTATCATAGGGCCATATGACTATACATCCGGTATACAGTCCAGCTGCCTCATCACCACGTGGATCGCAGCCAACTGCATCACATGGATCGCATCCATCCATGTCACATCTACATGGATCACATCCATCCGTGTCACAACCACTCAGATCACAACCATCAGTATCACAGCCACTTGCGGTCCATCCAACTATGTCGCAGTCACAGGTATCGCAACCATCTTCATCAGCGACTCTATCTATTTCAGGACTTTGCCTGCGAGATAGTAGCTCTGATCCCCCTACACCTTCCACACATGCCTCTGATATACATGCTTTGGACGATGATGTTGATAATGACGAGGAGGTGCATTATGATCAATATGGCAGGATCATCATAGTCCTTGAGGGTGTTGGGTAAGAGTTATTTGTTATTTTTACGTTTATTGTTTTGTACAGTTTGTACGAAGATTTAATGTTTTTTTTATTAAATTGCAGGTTCATCCCAAGTAATATTACTACGAGGATAATCACCAAAGCCACCAGAAAGCTTTATGATGGCCCTTATACAACTTGGAGTGAATTCTCATTCTCCCTGAAGGAACAAATTTTCAATCAATTTAAGGTATAAATGTTCTTTTAAGTAATATAATTATTTATAATTATGATATTTTCATATA